AAATTAAAAGGAGGTGAGATAATACGCACCTCAGATACGCATGTCAGAGCTTACCATGTGTGACTGAAGGCACCTTCCATCACCCTGCGAAATACTGTTAATTATATAACTTTTTTTTTCTTTTTTTTTTTTTTACGCGGAAGGGATATTTTAGTTTTACGGTGTTCTCCCAAGAAACAGATTTAAATCGTGGTAATATTTATGTGATAGCATATGCGTGAACGTAGTTTGGGAAAATACGTCTCGATATATATGTTCGACTAAGTTCGATGGCTAGCTCTTTCATTCAATTTTTCGGGAAGAACAACGAGAAGAAACGGCGGGCAAAGATGTTACTGAAGGATATCTTTGTGATTTAGGCTTTAAAGTGAAACAAAGTAAATCGTTTACGGCCGCACCAAAGTAATCAGTGGTAAAATCACGTTAAGCAGTTCTCAAAGCCAAGCTTGAACGTTCAACCAAAAACAAAACCACACAACGTTGCTCTTTATATATATATATATATATATATATATAAGCTTGTCATGGGGGGGGGGGCGTGTTTACAGACATTTATATGATTTGGTGCTTGGCGTATTGTCGAGATTACGGCTCTGTAAACAGCGTCGTCAAGCTAGCATGGCTACATTTAACGATGCAGAACGCAAAATATGGAGTGCATGACCTTTAGCATTTCAGGACAAGATGCCGTGTAGAAAGTTTATTATCTTTTTTTCTTTTAGGTATCTTGTGAACGACAAGCTTTCGTACGACTCTGGTGCTCTGGTTATAAATAATGGTTTTGTTAAAGGGCACATTTCCTCTTTTACGACATTTTTAGGGTGATCACAAGGACAAAAGTCGAGATAAATCCGTTACGTTAGAAACTTTTTTATATAGTGTTCCGTTTTTCGAAAGAATTGAATCTAAATTCTGCGAAGCCGCAGGACTTGGATCATCCTTCTTTGCAATAGGCTGTCAGTCGGCCTTGAAATCGGCATAAGGCAGTTAGGCGTTGCGACAGCAAAGACGAGAAAAAGCCTCGGAATTGATTTGGACATGTTCCGTTAACTGGAAAGGCGAAGCGAGTTTCTTCACCTTCCCTATTGAACGCAAACGACTGGGAGCTGATGGGCTCGCTACGTGACTGTTTGTGGGGTTTGACAGGTTTTAGTGTCGCTGGATCACTTTACATGTTCATCACGTTTACATTTTTAGCACTATAGTATGTACATATGCAGGCTGTTTCACGGAAGGCAGGCCAACATTTTCCTGCAGTAACTATACGCTCAGCACACAACCAAATGTTGGTGACTTATTGGTCGCTGTCAAAGACGTAGAGATGTGCGAAGCGTTGGGGAAAAAATCGTAGTGTAACTTAATTGTTTAAAGTCATCTAATTTTGTTTTAATTAGTAAAAATAAAGCTTCTAGTTTTACAAGTAATCCATTTCAGAAGGATGTAAGGTGCACATAGGCGTATTAGCGCGTCCGAAAGTAAGCACCATTTGGAAGGAATCGTCGAGGTTTCGGTTTCATTTTGACTGCATCATATGGCAGACGGCCGTCAGAATACGGACCTTTTTTGAGGGAGTTGATAAAGCGCTGAATGCGCCCTAAATATTTCTAAAAGTGACATATTTAGTGTGTGTGTGTGTGTGTGTTTTTTGTATTATTCTCAGCAAGTTGGTAACTGAAAAAATACCTCTATTTAGAAATAGGTCCTCTGGCAGTGATCGACACGTTATCGACCTCCTTTTTTTTTTTTTTCTTCTTTTTTATAAGATGCGTAATTTTTTTTTTTGTAAAATGTTGGTTTTCCTTAGGTTTATTTCTGAACGACAAATAATAATAATAATAATAATTAAAAAAAAATTTCCATCTTCGGAGTAACAGTATCGGCTGAGGTGGGCGTCGGGGGCGCAAGTGTGGCCCGGTAATGAGCGATCTGATTACCTAAAACGCACTAGTTTTGTTTTTATTTGTCTTGGCTGGTGGAATAAATTCAAAAGATTTGGCGCCCGTCACCGAATGGAGCGAAAGCAGATAAACGTAAGAACATGTAGGAAGGCGAAAGCATTATAGTCCCGGGGGAGAAATGTTTTCGAGTAATGTTTCTACACGTATTAAAGTTTATGACGACGTATAGGACGACATCTCAGACAACCTTTAGGACGACGTCAAGAGCGACGTCTAGGACGACTTCTAGGACGACCTCTAGGATGACCTCAAGGACGACGCCTACAGGACGACTTCTAGGACGACCTCTAGGATGACCTCAAGGACGACGCCTAGAGGAGGACGTCTAGGACAACCTCTAGGATGACCTCAAGGACGACGCCTAGAGGAGGACGTCTAGGACAACCTCTAGGATGACCTCAAGGACGACGCCTAGAGGAGGACGTCTAGGACAACCTCTAGGATGACCTCAAGGACGACGCCTACAGGACGGCGTCGTCCTTGAGCATACGATTGAGCGGCGCGTCCTTGATGACGTATTTTTATGGACATCGTTCGGGCAAAGCGCGAGAAATATCGCGCTCGAAGAGGTGTCAGCATAGGTTTCGAAAGAGGGCGGCGAGTAATGTCGAGCCGATGTGGCAGTATCGCGATAACTCTGGGTCACGTAGCAAAGGCGCCTCTCATTATAACGTCTATTGGGGCGTGGCACCGTCGACACACTTTCCCCTTCTTGGTCTCGGTATAGTGGTCTCTTAGAGAGTCTCATTTACCTCTGAACAGTGCAGAGCAGAATTTAGTTGTTTGAATTCTAGCAACTGACCTCGCCTATTTTGGACGACGGGCTACAAACTTTTGATTTAGAGCGTGCGAGCTAAAGCTATTTAAAAAAAAAAAAATTAGTCTATATAGAGATTTTGTCGATGATGACGCCACACCGCACTTGTACTCGTGACTTCACATGTTGGCCGTGGTTGATAACGCGATCCCTAAAGAATACTTTTGTTATTTCAAATGATCTTTGTGTATGATAATTACTGGAAGTTACTGTTGTATAAATATAATTTTGGTATCTCCTGACATAGATTTATGCGCTTTATTTGAGCGCTAAACATAACATCGGTTACTCCCACGGACCCTAAACAGTGCACGTAAGCAACAAGTGTTACGAGAACTCAATCTTGAGTTGGTGACCGTTGTAGCTTAATTTAAGCGACTGCTATTCAGACATCCGCCAGCAAGTGTCGATATCCCGAGTATCTGGACTTGGACATCTCGTAAATGTTTTCAAATACCCTGTCATCGTTAAAGGAGAACCTGTTTCGCAAGTTCTCCGATTCCTCATGCTAAATACTTCATAGGTCGGTTGATTAAACATTGCGAGTTAAAGCCTCTGTTTCATCGAGTGTAAAGAAAACATTTAAGGAAAAGGAAAACTTCTATCACTAAAGCAAGCGGACCAACATGATTTACCGACGAGATAGCAAGCGCTGGAATCTGTTCCTTCACTGCGGGGGTAGCATGCGCAAGCTCCCTCTGGGAAGCCCTGCGGTTTTTATGTGCGCACAGGAGGAGCAAAATTGTAGCGCAGACGTGCACGCTTTGCTTAATGCCCCACGTCGACGAGAGGGAGGCAATGTCAGGCTACCCGTATAATTGCCAAACTCACCGCATGAGGCCGCTACAAGTATCCTCCACTCCACCTACTCTCGTATGCAGCAACCATCGTCAAGATGGGCTCGTATCGGTGGGTGGTAATGATACGCGAAGGGAAATTCGCTCGAGCTAATGCGGCTAAGCTAACGAGCTCCGCGATGTTCTGAGCAGCACGCTTCGTGCATAGGTTGACACCCGAGCCTTGCCTAAAGCCGCCCTTTTCCGTCTTTCCTCCCAGGCTGGAGCCGCTCGCAGATGTGTCTGCTTCTTTTGACAACTGTCCACGCGCACCTTTCCCCCAAAGAGCACCGCTTTGTTTTTAGAATGGAGGAGTTCCGTCTTCCACTTCGGAATCACCATCGTGCAGGTGATAGTTGTTTACAACGTGGTACGGGGTTCGAGGCCGAGCCAACTAAGGGGCCATTCTTCATAAGGCTGGAGCGAAAACTCGCACCACAGAATCAAAGATCGTTGATTCGTTGCTCACTTCTGTTTTCGTATATTGAGTACTGCATAGCGTAACTTCAGCTCGGTAACCGCGTTACATGCTTAACTGCTTCACTACAGTCTCAAACGAGTATCTCTAAATCTCAGAAGCCCTCTCCATATAAATATTAGGCGCGTTCAATTTTCTTTTATTATACCCAGTACAATAGTGTAGTTCGTGACTTTTGTAATAAAGGGGGGGGGGGGGGGGGCATCATTTCTGCAGGAAGAGTTAGGGTTCACTGGAGGAACGGGTTGTCCATCATTTGTACGGCCAATAGTTGGAACAAGCAGACAGGTCAAATATCTGCCCCGTACTACCAGATAATTTTTATTCCCGCGGACAACTTTCTGTAATGATTGAGAAGTGGTGAAGATTGCGCGCCTATAACTTGGCAGATGAACGAGCTCAGGGGCGCCATTATTTTTGACACCCATGCGTCAGAAAGTTGTCCCCGCTCCATCCCCGGGAACTTCATATACACTCTAAAACATACGTGACTCGTAAAACACATAGAAACGCAAAACTCGTTAGATTTTTTTTTTTCTTTCCCAAAACAGTAAATAGCGTGGAAGTCGCACGCGACGTCCAGAGGTAGCGCAAACACGACTTTGATACCTTGTTTGCTTGCTTCTTTGTTTGTTTGTTTGTATGCCTTTTTTTACTGATACAGTGTATTGAGAAACACAAGCTTTTACTGCCCAAGTTGATGGCCCGGACGAACACATTCCAGCACACACCGGGCACTTTTAGAGACAGCAATTCAGTTATAATGGAAAAAAAAAAAAGGCGATGGTTCGTTCAGACTAATTGCGTCGCTCTCTACTCTAAGGTGCAGTGTGCTTTGTATGCGCGTCTCACTTGTGCCTCAGGAATCGTGATGTTCAATCTCGATTGTGTTTCCTTTCTTGCTCTTGCAGGGGACTCGATCAAGTGCGTCAATGAAGGTCAACTGACGCACGTTCCCGGAATCTCGGACGACCCCTGTATCACCTGTAAGTGCCAGGTAGGCTAGCTCCCAGTTTAGTATAGCCACTGTTTCTAGAGCCCACATCTATCGGCAACTATTGAGCGTGTGTGCCTGTGTGTGTGTGTGTGTGTGTGTGTGTGCGCGCGCGTTTGTGTGTGTTTTTCATGTCCTGCCTCGAACGTTGGTGCCTGAAAGGCTTGAAACGAGTAGTCTTTACAGTTTCCGACCCGCTTGCTGTCGTTTTGCGAAAAAATTGGCTTTTCTCCTTTTATTTCTGTTTTTTTTTAATGAACGTGTGCACTGCTACCGAGAGTTACCCCAACGACATATTAGTGCTTATTTGACTACCAATCACAATGCTAATCGTTAAATCATCAACGCAGGAAATTAGTAGTTAAAACAGTCCGGCATGTCTCAATTATTTTTTTTATTAAATCTTTACAGGTTTAATTCGAGTTACAAAAGAAGCACGCAACCCATATTGATCCGCAGAAACTATTATATTGATTAAAAGTTGTGACATCATGGATACGACATGTTTGTCATTGATCCTTTCGAATGCCACGTTCTGTTTTTTTTTTTTTTTTTTTTTTTTGCAAGCTCCGAACATACTGGGCAAGTACAAACAGCCGCCACCTTAAAACCTTAAAGTTAAAAACTTTAAGTATCGACGATAAAAATTGAAGTTACACTATTTGCGCAGCCCTGCGAATGCGAGAGTATGGGGTGTCCCAAGTCACAAGGCTCGATGTAAAATGGACCGTAAAAATCGATGCCTGCACGTAGCAATCTCAACTTTTCGTCAAAAATTTATTTCACAGGTTGTTTTTTTTTTTGTAAAATTAGAAAGCGTAGCTTTTTTTCTGTAAACAATAAGGCCAATAAACTTGCCAGGGTCTACGGCGGGCGGCCACGCAGACGAACAAGTCGAGTTGGGGGGGTTTGTTTGGCGTGCGTATTGATAGATGGCGTCGGGAGCAGTGTCCGAAGGTGCAGCTTACCAGCGAAAGAAAGCAGACGACACGCAGACGAAATCCGTTGGCAGCAAAAGCGCCGTCGTTATGCAAACGCGCTTTTTTTAATTTTTTTACTTTAAGTTTTGATTTTATTGTTCGCATTAATTTTCAAACCAAAGGTACATTATAAAAAGATTATGTTCATTTTAATAAACCACGGTGGTCGCAAGCAGTCTCGATCAAGAGGTAGCGCCATCTATCAATACGAGCGCCAAACACACCCCGCAACTCGACTTGGTCCTCTGCGTCGCCTTTGACCCTGGCAAGTTCCTTCGCCCTATATTTTACAGAAAGGAAGCTACGCTTTGTAATTTTAGAAGAAAATACCGACCTGTGAAATACACCTTTGACGAAAAGTTTAGATTGCTACGTGCAGGCGTCGATTTTTGCGGTGCATTTTAGATCGAGCCTGGTGACTTGGGATACCTTATATTTTGTGCCCGCCATTATCTATGCCTCCCTTATCTTTCAAACACATAGCAGACTTTCGAAAACTGTACGTAGTATTTACTGGCGGCCATAACTGCGTGCTCTGGGGTTAGACACATGCTTACGGTGACCTTTCGCCAGATTCATTTCACACCGTCGAGACTGTTGTTCACGGCGGACGATAAGTTACTTTACAAACATTTCGGTCTGCTGACGACATGGGAATAGGGAGTATTCACTGATGGCCATAGCTGTGTGCTCGGCTACTGAGCGCGTGGTGACGGCGAGCTTCTACAGTTCTTCAGCGACGTGCCGTTCTCACCATCAAGATTGTCGGTCTTAGCAGCCCATTAATTTGAGCTCGTTCTGAGCATGCACTATAAACATCACCCTCAAATATGGGGTCCAGTGAATACCCCCTATACCTCCTATAGGGAGTATTCACTGGCGGCTATAGCTGTGTGCGCGAATGCTGAGCGCGTGCTTCCACAGTTCTTTTGCAACGTGCATTCCGAACCATCAAGAGTGCCGGTCTTAGCAGCCTATTGATGTGAGCTCGTTCTGAGCATGCGCTCTAAACAGCACCCACGAATATGGCGTCCAGTGAATACTCCCTGTATTCTGTTTTATCATAAGTGCTAGTGAAGCCGGTGATACAAGCACGAGCAGGTTGTGTCGGACGACGCTTTCACTTCACGATCCCGCGTGCGTAGACGACGCCAAAGCGTTTCGCTCGCTTTGGTCGCTTCTCCTCCTCGCTCGCATTACGGTCAATTGGGGTGCACTACCCTGAAACGTCATCAAATTCCCTACCTTCATTCTTTCTACTTTGTATGGGAAAGTAGTAAACGGCACGTTGACTCTGCTGTGCAGACGTGCTCCCGGACCGTATACGCCCGCATTTCGAAGAAAACTGGTCTGCCAGGAAACGGTCATATTTATTTTCGACGTGTTTACTAGTTGAAACTGGAAAGAGGCGCAGGGAAGACGAAGACACGTCGGTGGTGGATACAAGAGCTAATCCGTCGCATATACGTCGGGTCGGCATCCCTGGGTTGTCTCGGGTAGTAAACATGTTTAAGGTAGATCGACACCTGGGGCCGTCTCCAAAGATCCCTGGCCTCGGGCAAGGCGGGCTCGCAATGCGGAAATGCGGACAGCGCCAGCTTTAACGAGGTCGCTCGGGAAGCTCTAATTGCTTCGCTGACGACGAGATGTCGCTCGGAGCAGCGCGACTCTCTCTCGTAGCGATTCCCCCCCGCCTGCGTCGAATGGGAGCGCGTCTGCGATGCCCCGCGCCGGGCTGCTCTTCAAAACTCATCTGGTGGACTCGGTCGAGGTTACCGCGCGAAACTGCCTTGGCGCTGATTAATTTGTTTGCTAGTTGGACGCCAAGCGGCGCAGGACGAGCGCGGATTCTCCGGGCACGCCGATTAGTTCCGGATTAATCAGAGTTTGATTGGTGCGAGGCCCTCGATTGCTGCCGATGCTGCGGTTTTTTTTTTTCTTTTTTTTTGCGTGCTTAGATTCCATCGAGCTGATTAAGGCGCAAGCAGGAACGGCAAAAGAAATACGTGTGACTCATGTCGAGTACTCTGATCAGGGTCATTCCATCTCAAACGTCCCAGACTTGGCGCTCTCGACCATTTCCCATTTTTAAAAGAAAATTCTTGGCTTTTTACGCTCATGTTCTTAACCTTTTCCTAAAATATTTTTGCAGAAAACTTTTTTCTTTTTTTATGGCGTGAACGTGGTTTGAATTTCTAAAATAGGCGTAAAGCTAGGCATCAATCAATATAGTAAAATTCCAATTTTCTTCCAAACGCTTCACAACTTGTTTCATGAAATTCGAGCGGCTTAAAGCTTGCTATGTTGTGATGATTATGAATTTTTTATTGTACAAATATTTTTTAATTCAGCAATATGCACAAAATGTAGCACATTTCTCAATTATTTTATTTTATTATCGTTTTACACCTGGCAATTAAAAACTTTTTTTTTGAAGCCCTGTAGATGTGCTACAAATAAAAAAATGTTTGAAACTGTACAAGAAAATACTTCACATAAAAAAAATCTGAAGTTGTAGAAACGTCTGTTTTGCTGCCTAAACACATTAAAAAAATCTGAAGTTGTAGAAACGTCCGTTTTCGAGGGGGGGGGGGGGGGGGGGGGCTGCCTAAACAACCGTCTATTCTACCCTGAGGTGGTCCAAGTAAAAGTACGAAACATAACGGCTTTATAAGAAGAGTTTATTGCCTTTCATTTCTAAAAGTTTAAATAAAATAAGTTTCGTCTAAATGGAGAAAACAAATATTGAAGTTAAGCTCCCACGTCGCAACCCCGGACTGGTTTCTTAGCTCCTCTTCACCGCCCAGCACGTCACTGTCGACATTGTAGCCGGAAGAAACGCACAATTGTTTGTCTTGAGTGGAGTGTCTATACCGCGGGCAGGCGCAGAAAAGTTCTGTTGTTGTATAGGTATTCACGGGAAAAGTCTTGCTTCTGGTTCCGTGGCCTTCCCATCTAATGGACCTGGATGAATGGATGGATGGATGAATCCGACTGAGCCCTTTGGATCGGGCGGTAGCTTACGCCAGCTAGCCATTTTGTTTTACCATTTAAGCTTATAATATTTAAATGTGAAATCTATATTCACTCCGCACTGCAATGAACGTGAGGCAATGAAGCCCCCTTGCCATCAGTTAATAAGAAAATACCGAGTTTTCTCTCACACCTTTTTCGGGTAACGAGCGCCGTCTGGGGAGTTAGTTGTCTGCGAGCTACAATAGAAGAGCAGCCCAACATGCCTCCGCCCCTTTAAAACACATTGGCATCGTGCCGTTCTTTCGGTTTTCAGTGCCTTTTATACCCCCTACTACCGACACTAAAAAAACAAAGCGTCAAAATAGACTAAATACGCGCGGAGATAGATGCTGACAATGGTTGCTGTCACCATTTTTGCAGGGCACCGTGTCGCGGTGTCCTGCGAAAATGGAGGTAGCGGGAGTGTACGCTTGCGCAGGAGCTTACTGGAAAAAGGACCATTGCAACCGTCGTCCGCGGCGGAGTTCTCTTGTGATCTAGCACAGCTTGTCATATCTGCTGTTTTCTTAGCGCTGCCGGGCCAGTATATCCACCAGCAGGTCAGTTGATTCACACCGCAATTTGTCTCTCTTGTCAGTGTCAGGGCGCACGTAAGAAGCAGCGTAAAAGCCCAGTGAGTAGGCGATATGAAAACGACCCGAACTGTATGGTGTTGAGCAGATCACAGCAGCACCATTTTATTGGTCTTAAGGCAGCCGAAGGCTCACGCCCCGTTGGTTTTTCCTGCTTCTGGGATTTTCCTTGCTGAAAGTTTTGAATTAGGACAACAAGCCTAAAATCAATTCTGAAACTTCAAATTCTTGTGTCTCTGAATTGGACGTAAATCTAGCACGTGGCGTTGAAAGTGATGCTGGCTTGAAGTGATTAAAACTCCGTGTCCCTTTGTCGGGACCGTTGAGTTGAATCGTGTAGTTAGTCGGGTTCGTTTTTCTTCTACAATTTCTTTTGGAACCTAAAGGATTGTAATACCTCCAATGTTATCTTTAG